AAATTTATTTGTAAATTATTTATTACTATAAAATACATATATTTTATTATAAAATCTATAGTATATAATCATAGATCCGCTATGTATCTGCTATATTATGCATATTCATTATATATTGCAGAGTTTGATTTATTATATGTATACTAATACAGGATCTAATTTACAGATCTCATATTGTTTATATATATTTACATATGTATATATATGTATATACAGCTTAATAGAGGCACTGGGATCTCTGTTAAATTTTTTTTTGTTTACAAAAAAAAGCATAACAGAGAATCATGCTTTAGTAGAGTGAACAAACTTTTTTTTTTACAGAGATCCCGAATATGCTCTGCTTATGCAGGTCATATTCAGAATCTCTGTAAAAAAAATAAACATAGTAAAAAAAAGCATGACTGACAATCGCACTTTAGTAAAAAGAAGATATTATATATATATATACAGTAAAATATCAAAAATCAGAAAGTTTAAATAGAGAACTTATAGATGAGTCTCAGATATAACATCTAGTAAATAACTTGTAGATAGAACTCTTAATTAGATAATAACTAAAGTTATATGTATGACTAGTTGTACTTTTATTGATATACTCTGTATATAATATGTAATTTTATATTACTAATAATAAAAAAGACACATAGGCAAAATTGTTCTTGAAACTAAAAAAAAAAATAAAAATCATATAATAAAATTTTAAATATAACAAATTATATAACTGCTACTAATAAATTTGACAATATGTTTACAAACACAAACTACCTTAAGATTGCTATCAAATTTTCACTTTTACATAATAACTATTTAATAGTAAATTTTATTTTAATGTAACATTACACAATTAAAAAGCTTAAAATAAAATGTTCACTTTTTAAAAATCATTTATTTCTTAAAAATTTTATAAGAAACTACCTTTTGTATTTTAACAAAAAAATTTTCTTAAGTAATTTTACTATTATTTATTTAAAACTTAACTTTATTATAAATACTAACTCTAACTTAAACAAATTTAAAAATTTTTAAATATTATCATATAAAAATGAAAATTTTAATAATGATACTGAGTAAAATACAAATCATATAACTTGTACATGTTCTAACTTTAGAGTAAGTATATTAACATGTAACAGGTTTTTATTTATAGACATTAGTAACTCACAAGATTTTTTTTAGTACATAATTTTTGGCCAATTAGATTGAAGGATCAGATGTAATATAAACTTAAAACAATCAAATTAAATGAAAGATGTTAAAGTAGTAAGCATTATATTTAGAGTTAGGATTAAAGATAAAAAAGATTATAATTTATACTAAAATTTCATTAAGAATTTTTTTTATTAGAATGCAGAAGGCAGTTTCATAAGTAAAATTCGAGTTAATAGTGATTTTTTAAAAAGACATGATTTTTACATTACACCTGATCCTTCAATCTAATTGGCAATGGTCACGTGACAGAAAAAACTTGTGGGTGAGCTACGGCGGACCGTCTACGGACACATACTGATTCGCGTGATTTGTACGTACTTATTATAAGAAAATCCTTAAAATATACCCGGAGTAGAGGTTATTATCCTGTGTCTCAATTTTAGTTTTTTAGGGTTAAAGTTAGTTGGCACGTGATGACTATTTTAAATTTAAATTATTTATTTTTGGTCATAGGTTAAGAGCCTATATCCCGGGTACATTTTAAGGACGCCTCCTATTATAAATCTAAAACCTGTCATGTGCTAAAAATACTTACCTTAAAGTTAGCGTTAGGCTACGTGCAAGTCATATGAATTGGTACGTGTCCGTAGATCGTCCCGAGCTAAGGGGTTCCGACAAGGAGATAAATCACGTGTTGCGATAGGCGTAGGATCGATTTTACTGTCACATGATTTTCCGAGATATACCAGCTAAACGTTCGCTTTGCAAAATTCGTATTTATCTCAAAATTTAGTCAGTAAACCGTCTTTTGAGTCCTAACAAAAAAATTTCCTTGTGTAATCTTGCTATGACATAGTCTTCCTAACCTTAGCCTAAGCTCTAACTCAAATATAAAAGAAGCTTTTAACTTAACAACATTTGTTTTCCGAGAATCATGTGACAGCAAAATCGATCCTGCGATCGAAGTCAATTATGCGATTGATGCAAATAATTTAAAATTATGCGAAATAATTAAATAGAAGATGCGATTTTTAAACCTTCTCTGAAAAGATTATTTATTTATTAAGTAATTGCGGAGTTTTTTTTTATTCATGGGTAGAAAATGTCGAATGTTCATCTATTACGGATTTTTTTTTCATGACTCACAGTGGTCTGACAAAACTGGCAAAAAAGTTTACTCTGTGCATAAAAGTCATTATACAAAGGATTTCTATAATGTCGTTCCGTGGCTGTAACCATATTGCTTTATATTTTCTTAATTAAACATCCAATTTTTTTTTTATTAACAAGAATGAATTGAGAAAACATTTATAACCGTTTTATAAAAAAAAATTTTATTAAAATCTTAGATATTCAAGACAAATCGCTTATTGTTTTCATTGTCATATTTAAAATCAGATCTACCAATCATGTTTGAGCCACATGACCAGGATGTTTTTTTTTTTTGCGAAGCATCCGTGGATGTGAAAAAATGATAGATTATGCCAATATTATGCGATCGCATAATCCTGGACACCCTACACCCGGGTGAAAATAGAATTTCCTATATATATACTAATAAATTATATTTACTAATAAATTTACGCTAGTTGCGTCGTTCACTTAAACTTGTAGAAACTACTAAAGATGCTAAACCAGAGTGGTGAAATTGTGTTGTGTTGAATTGGTGAAATCGGTGTTGAATTGATGAAATTAATTTCACCAGCATCTTTAATGGTGCATCAAATCTTGGTGCAGAGTAAATAACTCGCTATGTAACGAATAAAGCGTAGGATAATAATAATAATAATAATAATAATAAACCATATATACATATATACACATTTGCAGAATTTTCAAAAATTGTAAATCACACGAATCCTCTTCGACACCAACTTCTAACAGTATCATTTGTATGATCTAATATTCTTCGCCACTTTGGAGGTTTTCTAACGCACCATTCGATGAATTGATGATCTCTAAATGGAAATGAAGAAGTTGACCTTGCAATGGGAGGTGGTGTTAAGGTAACTTGATCGTTTATATCCTTGCTAGTGGTGAGCCGACACTTTCCATCCGACACATTCATGTCAACTTCAACTTCGAACCCTAACGGAGAAACGTAACGCTGAAGATTTTTATTTTTGAAAGAATCCGTTGATACTTGAATATACATATGCCAAAGTGATTTATAATGAAAGAGTCGAAATTTGCCAGATTTATTGACCGAGAACGAAAGAGGACTATGAGAAATTTGTTCTTCAGTCGTTACATGACCATTTTTGTATTCGAGCAGAGTGATTGATGTTATTTGTGGACGATGACGTTTTGAAGTTGCATAGAGGCGCAGTTGCACCGGTTTTGTCGGTTCAAAGAACGCACGGAAACTCTTTGGATCATATGACGTCATTTTAAATTCAAATTTCGACAATATCCGCCCTAATAATAGATTAATGAAATTCATGTGATCAACAATTCAAATTATTCATTATCTATACAATTAAAGCGAATCAAAGATATCGCAACAAATGACTTGTTCAATCAAAGTTAATGGTGTACCTTGTTCAATGACCGCACTCACAATCCATTTTTCTGTTATGTGACAAGGTTCAGTCCCACTGGAATAGATCATATTTAGGACCGAAAGAATCTTTGTTTAGAAAAGAAAGTAATTCAGGGACTCTTTATATATCAAAAAATGATTATGGTCGTGTTACGGTGTACTCATCATAAATTTACTCAAGGGCGTTATGCTCTAAGGTCTATGGGGATCGATCATATTGTGTTTCGCTGTGTCATATGGCCAAGGCGCAGATGTTTATGTCTCGTTATGTCATTAAGATTTTTTCGAAAAATGTGAATGTGAAATGAATCGAGATAATTACTAAACTTTGTTAGCATATTTCAACGTGTACGCATTCATTCGCATAATTCATTCTGGCGAATTTCAAACTTAAAAAACTACACGCATAGAAGCACAAACATTACATATATACAAATCTTTCTAGACATATATTTACGAAATCTCAAACTTTAAAAAAGTATGACACGCCATCTTTTCCTCCGATGCATCATAATGATGCATTGATTATAATGTATGACCAAAAACTAAGCCATGATGCATTTATTAAGGTTGGATGCACAAGATTTGGGCATGACCAAAGAGGGCATGCCTTGGGCTGAGGATTCTGGGGCATACCTGTGTCATTACGTTTGTTTTACTTTTTATCGTTATTTTAAATCGAAAGGGCAAAAAGACCTGGGTCCAACATCCCGGCCCTTTCTGGATATGGTGATCTCTCACAAACCTTAAAATCGGTTAAGGTTACCATATTTCGCGGGCAAACCCACACCCTTGTAAAATATTTAACAGCTGGTAGTCATATATTGTTGTCAATACAGTATTGGCATAATTATGCAAGTGTAAAAACCACCAACGTATATTAAACCCGTAAAAAATTGTGCAGGGGTACTGTTTTAATACAGTTAGTGTTGTTGTTATATATGGATATCAAGAATACAATTTATCGTTATGCAGTATGTAGATCAATATATCGATATGAATTTGCCGCTTTAAGAAATCCCCAAATTTAGAAATGTCGTTCACGCTATCGCATATAACGAATGCGATGAATGCGACAAAATTTGTCCAAAAAAAAGGGTTACTATAGAGTGAGCTCTTTATACATAAAAGGTTTTATATATAAAAGAGTCACTACAATAATGATAGGTGTATTAAAATAAAATGATCAGAAGGATAATTGGCAGTTAGCGAATTTGGTATCTGCAGTATACATACTATATAATTCTGTATCAAAGGCTCTAATCATTTATTGCATTACTATAAGTGGTGTACTATGTCCTATCATTTCGAATTTAATACATACAGTACGAAATTACCTTTAAATATATATGTATCTTTGTACAACATAGCAGGCTTTGGATTGGATAATTACCACAAAATGTCGCAGTTATAAAAATACGTAGTTTGGCAGTCATAGATATGAATTGGCAGAACTGAATACTAAAAAAACCTTAAAGTATATATTCTGTTTTAAAATAATTTAGTAATCCAAAAAGTAATTCAGAAGTTAGATAAAAGGTATATTTAAATGTTTATAGATACAGTAAATCACTTAAACTTGATAATTTAAGAGTAGAATGTATGTAGATTATTTTTTATATAACCTAAATGGTATAATAGATTTTTCTATAGTAAATTAAAATATGTTACTAATAAAACTTTTTAAAATTTAATAATATATAGATTTAAATAAGTTATTTATTATGTTAAAATTTTATAAAATGTTTAATTTAAAAAAATAATATTTATATATTTCTTGAATTTTTTCTAGATACTTTATATTTTTTTCAAATCACATAAAAAGTTAACTTTAATTGGTTAATTTCTAAAAAATAATAATAAAATTTAAATATTAAATTTTTATATTAAATCTTTAAAAATTTATATATCAATAAATTTTAAACTAATTTTAATAATTTTATTACTATTAGAATCATAAAAATCTATTTTACAACTTAGAAGATTAAAAAATATTTAATTAGTAAAAATTATTGTAATTAAAGTTACAAAAAAAAGTATTATATTAGATCAATTTTAAACTCTTTCTACTAATCATCTGAACACAAAATCTACAAAAAAGAAAATTAAAGTTTATATAAAAACTAGTATCAAAAGCATAGTTAAAAATTTAAACAAAAAAAAGAGCATCTAAAACAAACTTAGCAGATGCAACAATAAAAAAAAATAAAAAATATATCAAATAAAAAAAAACAAATTTGATGAAATAAAAACCAGAAAACAAATTTTTTTAAAAAAGTATTGATTTAAATTGCAAATCATTTTGAAGCATGTAAGTGTATAAAAAAACAAATAAACAAATATATACAAAAATAGATAGAATAGACATGTAATTATTACAAAGTATATATAATAAAGATAAATCAAGAAGAGTTATATAAACACAGTTAAATAATAATGCAAGTGAAATTAGAAGAATTTATAACATTAAAGTTGATAAGTAAAAGAATAAAAATAACTTTAAAACTTATAAAAAGTAAAGAGTTAGAGCAAAAACTAACAAATAAAGACAAGTATGTTAATATAAAAGATATAATTATAATAAAATTATAGAAACAAATCTAATAAAGATAATAATATTAAAAAAAATATACAAAATAATAATTAAAATAGATATAAAAGACCCAACTAATATAGAAAAATAGACAAAAGAAATAATTATATAAGCCAATATCCAATAGTAGTAGAAAATATAAGCAGTAAAAAAAATTGAATAATATTAAGAGAAAAACTAATTATATCAAAAATGTATATAAAAAAAATGAGACAAGTAACAGAAATAATAAATATAATAATAAATAAAAAAACTTTAATAAAATACAAATAAAAAAATAAAATAAAAACAAAAAAGAAAAAAAAATAGAGAAAATATAGAAGACACAAGTGCAATAACAGAAATAGCAATAATTAACAAATATATAAAAATTAAAGTAATAAAAATAAAAATAATACAACAAGACTTTCAAAACATAATAACAGTAACTAGAAATCAAAAAGAAAAAAAAAAAAATATATAGAATTATAAAACTGAGAAAATAGTTTTATAAAGTTATTATTAAAGTAAAGAATATAGTTATTTTTAAACAGAGATTGTGATAATAAAGTAATATATGCAACAAAGGTATTAGCATATAATATATCAGATAATTCAAAAAAAAAATAAAGTTTGTAAAAAGTCTACTAGTATCTAATAAATACACTTTAAAAGTTAAAGAAGTGTTCAAAAAGGGTAATACTTAAATTGTGATTACTTTTGTCTATAAATACAATAGAGAAAAAGCAATTAACAAGATTCAAAAAAAATAATAACTAATTTAGAATAATTTCAAATACAGAAGAACATAAAATAAAAATAAAAATAAGAAAAGAAAAAACAAAAAAGAAAAAATAATAATAATAATAAAAAGATATAGAAGAAAAAAGATAAACAAAAGACAAAATGAAAAGTTAAAAAAAAAACATAAATACAAAAGATAAAAAAACCTAGTAATACTTATTATATGAGACTTACTAAAAAGATTTTAGAACAAAAGATTAAATATCTAGTAAGAAAAATAAAAAATATAGGCTTATATAAAATAAGAAAATATATATATAAAACAACAGCAGTAATTAAAGTAAAGAAAAATGTAGAATAGATATTTCTATAAATAATTACTTTAAGAAGTAAAAAACTAGGAAAAATAATAACAGATAAAGAAAAAAAACCTGTTTTATAACAAGACTAAATAGAATACTAAAAAGAATATTTAAACTAATTCTTCTAAGAGAGCTAAGAGTCAGAAAAGCAATATCAGTATACATATTGCTAAATAAATATAAAAAGCTAAGAGACTATGCAGTAGTATTATTTAAAGCCAAACAGATATAAATATAGTTACTGAGAAAAAGTATAATACAATGAAGTTCTAATGTTTTAGAAATTTAAAACTCAAAAAAATGATAAGAGAGTATATAAAGACAGCAGTAGAATGCAAAAAACAAAAAAAAAAGAAATATATAAAAATACAAGCTCAAAAGATAAACTTGAAAATACAAAAGATCTGATAAATTAATACAAAAGAAAAGCAGTATTAAAAAAAAATAGAAGTATATAAAAGAGTAAGAATTATAGAAACAAAGTATAAAATAGAAAAAATTTAGCAACTAAAGACCAGAAACAAGAAAAAATAAGAAAAAGTCATCTAAACTTAGTTATAAAAGAGAATCTTACATATTGAAAATATCTTAGGCCTAATACTACTAAATAATAAAGTAGTAAAAAAAAACATTTAATAAAAAATCATAAAAATAATCTTAAAGAGAAAAAGACAAATACAAATTATTATTTTTTTTTTTTTTTTTTTTTTTTTATAATGCCAAATCATAACCTATATTTTATTAGCTTTTTGCATTACTATTACATA